GATCTTGATCCTCAGTTTTTTTCATGCTGTTATATATATTTGGATATTGGAAGGCATCTAAGACCTCAGGTCAAATGCAATTAATATTATCTTTTCTTTTTGATCCTATAAAAATGATGCTTTGATCATTTGGTTGAAGAATTTTAATTGATTGATACTTGTTTTCTTACTGTAAATCTAATACAACTTCTCAACTTTAAGCATCATTATCTTCTAAAAAATCTCCTATTTCCGATGTTAATCAATAATTAAATGAATCTCAGCATTTTCTTTTTAAATAATAGAAATTTTCATCCTTTTTGAAAGTTTTGTTTTAAAATTTCAAATTAATACCTTTTAGAAAGTCCTTAAACTCTTATTCTTAGCAGTTATCAATTATTTTATGTTTAACTTCAATAAAGTTTCTGGGGCTTATTTCGGTTTTGAAAAATTAGGAAGAATCCTCACACCAAATTACTCTTTACATAAATATGCTTTAAATATATCTAATGTTAAAATTTCAAAAAAAAGATAGGAATGACCTTTTTTCATTTTTTATATCTTATTTTATGTGAAGTATTGCTATTAGAAGAATTAATGATATTGAGCAGGTTAGTGATATTATTTAATTAGAAGTGAATGGCATTTTGATCTGTAGATAATTTTTTCGTTACAGCAGTTTTAAAGTCTTCTGAGTATAATTATTAGAAGGGGTCTAAGTATTATTTTACAACACAAAAGATAGTTTCACTTAATTTCTTTAATGCTGAAATGAATTTAATAATTGAGTTTAAGCTTGGTTCTGCAATCCTATTGGATTTTCAATCTCTCCAAGCTTTCTCAATTACCTCTCTCTAAATTGAGAATTTATAATAAACCGATGAATGATAAAAGATAAACATATAATTCCTATTCCATACTGTTTATTGCATTATGATATTAATTTTGAGTTAACATTGCCTTTATCGTTAATGTAAATATGTTTTGTTCCTTACTCTTGAATTGTAATGTTCATACCAAATTCCTAGGTTATTTATATATGTGATAAATAATGATAATACATAGGGCTTACTTTAATCCTCCTTATGATGGCTTAAGAGTTGTTCTAAGAGATTATATGCTTTTTACTTATTAAATTTAGTTTACACTGTTTTATTTTAACGGTGATGTTGATAAACTTATAACAACAGACACTTATATTATAAACTAATAGATTTTCAAAATAATTTATAATATTAATATTGGTATTGGTATTTTAGATCGATTATTGAATTAATAGATTTTATGAAATTTATCATCCAATAAATGAATGTCCCTTAAATTTCTACGAATTGAATAACATTTGAAATATATTCTGACATTAGAAACCGTTGCCTTAATTAGTTAAGCAATAAATATAAGAAAAATATAATTATACTCAATCTTCATTAAAATACTAGGCTAATGTACGTAAAACGCTTAAAGAAATCTTATTAGCTTAGAAGAAGAAATTAAAATATGAAATGAAATTATGGTATGGTCTAATTTTTTGTAGGAAAATAGCCTTCAATATGGCTATATAAAAAATCAAGCAATAAAAGACTATTTAATAAAGAAAATACTGCAAATATCAATTTTTTTCAAAAATCTAATTCTACGGTCAAAAATTCTAAGATAGGGAGAAATCTTATAAATTCAAATTAATCGTAATTTTTAATTATACTCAAGATAAGATATTAATTCCTCAATTTTATCCATTTACTTTCTGGCTCCCTCTATAAAAATAGAATTTGTATTAGATATATTACCCTCGTTTAAGGTATATATATTAGAAATTTTGAAGTTTACGATATACATAAGCTCTATTTTAATAATAAGTTTTCGTTAAATTGATCATTAAGCTTTATTAGATGATACGAATAATTAGCTACATAATTCACTGTTCATCTATTGATATCAGCATTTATTCTAAAACAAATTTGCTAACTTTAAAATCGATTAAGAAGAATTTACATTGAAATTAAAATGATACAGATTCTCCTATTCTATGGTTATGCAAATTTTGGTATGTAACTTAAGGAAAACAAATTCAGATGGAATTGAATAGAATAGAATCTCAAAATATAGAGATTTTTAGAGAATTCGAACTATGTAAACTGTTGATGTTTTAGCGATAATGTATAAATTTCTAATTTTTAAATGCTTGAAAATTAATTCATTATATAATGTAACAATACTGCTGAGGTAGTTTGGATTCATCTCCTAATGAAAATATTCGATCAATTATTAATAATATTAATTTAAAATATAGCCCAATTATATACATAGTATCAACTGTAATGTGATTTTATTCTTGAAAATTTCTTATC